TATGGGGAGGGGGAGGGGGAGGATTGCATTGGGAGTTATACCTGATGTAAATGACGAGTAGTTGGGTGCTGACGAGTTGATGGGTGCAGCACAGCAACATGGCACAAGTATACATATGCAACAAACCTGCACGTTATGCACATGTACCCTAGAACTTAAAGTATACTTAAAAAAAAAAAAAAAAAAAAGACAGACACTTATCTGTAAATGATGATTTTTTGGGGGGCGGGGGTAAGAGATACTTGGTTAAATGCTTTGTGTGCGTTATGTTATTTAATTCATGTAGTAAATTGGAGGCAGGCATTATCGCAATTTTACAGATGAGAAAACCAGGGGTTAGAGAAGTTAAGCAGCTTGCTGAAGGTCACACAGCCAGTAAACATAAAGCTAGAATTCATACCCAAGGACTGCCTGACCACAAGACCTGTTTCTTTGCTGCTCTGCATTGTGCTATATGTAAAGTACTGTGTGCTTATTATGAGGATTAAATAAGCTAATGTGTACATCCTTTGTAAAGTAAGATATTAGTCTTGGTATGGTAAAAATATGGACATGTTTGGAACATGGAACTGTTACTAATCTTTTCTGCTATTTTAAGGCTTCATATGCATTTCATAATTTTATATATAAGTATTTTACACCTTCAAGATTGTTAATATTTTGTCAATGTCATGTTTCTTGATTTATGAAGTACTCTTGTTATTCTTTAAAAACCCTTTCTAAGAAGGAAGGAAATCTATATCCCCTCCCCTCACATATTACATGAATTTTTGTTTTGAAAAGAAAAAACTTAATTTTACATCAGAATCTTTAGAATTTTTTGGACTCCAGAATTTAATAATTAGTTATATTGTTCACTTACAATTTCACACTAGAGAATAAGATCTTCAATATTCCATTATTTTAAAAGATAATACAAGGTAAACACATATAGAAAAGGTTTGATTGCTCCAGTAAGGATACTAAATAGTCAAACAATTTTCAGCAACTTAGTTTACTACCTATATATACAAGCTACTTTGAGTGTTGATGCATTACTGAAATACTTTAAGGCCTTCCTTAGTTTGTATGCATTGCTGAAATACCCCGAGGTTTGATTCTAGAATGCTTGAAAAATTTTAAGTTGCAAAAGGAAAACAAATGAATGCTTACTCATGTTGTAACACTTTTCTGTAATTTACCTCAATTTCTAAGGTTGTACCTTTTATTCAGGTTAGGAATAGGTTTTAAGTACTCTTGATTCCAAGTAATTTGTTTAATTGTCTTAATGCTATCTTTATAATCATTTTAAGCTGTGGCGCTTTTGTGAGTGAGTGCCTAGGAGCTAGAAAATTGACATCCAGGCAGTGAGGTCTGCTTTTTCTTACCGGCCCCCTGGCATTCTCTGTGACCTCACAAGGCACTTTTAAAATCTTTTAGCTTCTCTAGCTTTGAAGGCAAAGCCCTAGAATATGGCTTGGAAATTCAGAAAAAAATGATAATTTAAATAAAGATAAATGTAAATATTTGTAGACAAAGCTTTCAAGTCCAAACTGGTTTTAAATACCCTCTAAACATATAAAAATATTTTTCAAAATCATTTTATAAATCCAGAAGCAATAGAGTATAAAAGCCCCTATCAATAGCACATGTTTAGTGATGATTACAAGTATTTGTTTGAAATATAAATTTTGATATTCTAACTTTTGATTAAAGTAGAAGTATGAATTTTTAAACCTTCTCAGATGAGAAATTAGAAATTTTGTCTTCATCTTTTATAAGAATTGATGAATCTGCTGGCTTTTTGTGATATTTAACATTTTTATTATCAAAGAAGAATGCCGGATGCCAGTGGAGCGTGCCTGTAGTCCCAGCTACTTGGGAGGGTAAGGTGGGAGGATCGCTTGAGCCTGTGCCATTTTGCCATAAGCCAGACTTCCTGGGTCAGCATTGAGCAAAATTTCTAACAGGTTTCTGACTACTTCCTCTTACTTCTGGTTCATATGGTCAGAACTTGTTCTGTCACTTGGGGTACTCTCCCTTAGGTACTGACCACCTTACTAAACAACCCTCAATCTGCCTTTCTATTTTTATCTGAGTTACCCATTAGGTAACTAATGGTGGTTGTTTACATGAATTTTTGCTTTTTTCCTTCATTGTTTGGAGATGACTTTTTGCGGATTGAATCTTGTACCAGGATTTTCCATCTCTGTTTCTGCGTGGATAAATCTTATCCATACTTCACGGCTATGAATTTTTTTTTTTTTTTTTTGAGACGGAGTTTTGCTCTGTCTCCAGGCTGGAGTGCAGTGGCGCGATCTTGGCTCACTGCAACTTCTGCCTCCTGAGTTCAAGCGATTCCCCAGCCTCAGCCTCCCAAATAGCTGGGACTACAGGCGTGCACCACCATGCCCAGCTCATAGTTTGTATTTCTTTAGTAGAGATGGGGTTTCACCATGTTGGCCAAGATGGTCTCGATCTCCTGACCTCGTGATCCGCCCACCTTGGCCTCCCAAAGTGCTGGGATTACAGGCATGAGCTGCCGTGCCCGGCCCGACCATGAATTCTTTCTTCTATCTTCCTGTGTGTTACATGTCTTAATTGCGTTTAAAAAATTAATGTAAAAAACATGTAACATAAAATTTACTGTCTTAACCATTTTTAAGTGCAGTTCAGCTGTGTTAAGTATATTCACATTATTGTGCAACAGATTTCCAGAACTTTTTCATCTTGCAGACCTGAAACTCTAGATTAAGCCACAAGCCCCATTTTCTTTTCTTCAAGTCCCTGGTAGCCACCATTCTACCTTCTCTCTGTTTGTATGAGTTTGAGTACTTTAGATACCTCATGTAAGTGGAATCATAGAGTGTTTGTCTTGTAGTGACTGGCTTATTATACTTAGCATGATATCTTCAAGTTTCATCCTGTCACTTGTAGCATGTCACAGGATTTCCTTCTTAAGGTGAAATATTTTATGTATATATATGTGTGTATATGTGTGTGTGTGTGTATATATGTGTGTGTATGTGTATATATATATACATACACATACCACATTTTGTTTTATCCATCCATCTTTCAGTGGACATTTGGGTTGTTTTCAGCTTTTGACTGTTGTGAATAATACTGCAATGAACATGGGTGTGCAAATATCTCTTTGAGATCCTGCTTTCAATTCTTTTGATTTATATACCCAACAGTGGAATTGCTGGATCATATAGTAATTCTATTTTTAGAATGAAAAGTGTTGCTGTAGTCTTATTTTTGACCTTAAAAATTTGACAACCAGCCGGGCGCGGTGGCTCACGCCTGTAATCCCAGCACTTTGGGAGGCCGAGGCGGGCGGATCACAAGGTCAGGAGATCGAGACCACGGTGAAACCGGGTCTCTACTAAAAATGCAAAAAATTAGCCGGGCGCGGCGGGCGCTTGTAGTCCCAGCTACTCGGGAGGCTGAGGCAGGAGAATGGCGGGAACCCGGGAGGCGGAGCTTGCAGTGAGCCGAGATGGCGCCACTGCCCTCCAGCCAGGGGGACAGAGCGAGACTCCGTGTCAAAAAAAAAAAAAAAAATTGACTACCACAGCCATACTGCTTTCAGTCTTCTCCTTTAAGTTTGTGTCTCTTTTGTTTATGTTTTGGAAAATATGGAAATGATGGAGCATATGTAAATATAGAAAAATATGTTTTATATCTAATTAAAATCTAATTGTGATTTTATACATTTTAGTAGAAGAGGGTGTTGCTGATGTGAATACCAACAAAAGGCTATAGAAATCCGATTATCTTTTGGTTTCTATTTTTTAGTAAGTAAACTTGATTAGAAAAATGTTACAGATCAAATTCTAGTTTATGTATTTTCTCTTAAAATCTGTGGCTATTGGCGGGGTGCAGTGGCTCACGCCTGTCTGTAATCCCAGCATTTTGAGAGGCCAAGGCAGGTGGATCACTTGAGGTCAGGAGTTCAAACCAGCCTGACCAATGTGGTGAAACCCCATCTCTACTAAAAATATAAAAAATTAGCCGGGCGTGGCAGCAGGCATCTGTAGTTCCAGCTACTCTGGAGGCTGAGGCAGGAGAATGGTGTGAACACGGGAGGCGGAGCTTGCAGTGAGCCGAGATTGCGCCACTGCAGTCCAGTCTGGGAGACAGAGCAAGACACTATTAAAAAAAAAAAAAAAAAAAAAAAAAACTGTGGCTAGCATTTAAGTATCAAAATCCTTGCACTAAGTAACATCCCAAAATTGTAAGTCTAGTAAGACTTAGTATTTGCTGCTTTTTGGAAAGATACCAGAGAAACATCATATGGTATCTGTAATTCTATTATATGGAATATTACATTTTCTCTTATTCATAAGCTAGGAGCTCAAACATTAGAACTTTGTTAAAAGTTTGTAAAAAGTTAGAACTTTGTTAAAAATTACACCAAAAGTTGGAACTTTGAGGTGTTCTTGATCTCTACTATAGTGCTATAATGAAAACCTGTAATACCATTTCAACAATTTGAACTGGTTCATAACAATCATGGAGAGATGTGCTTTATTTTTGGTATATCTTTTCTATTGATAATAACAAATGGGGCTGGGTGCGGTGGCTCACGCCTGTAATCCCAGCACTTTGGGAGGCCAAGGCAGGCGGATCATGAGGTCAGGAGATCGAGATCATCCTGGCTAACACGGTGAAACCCCATCTCTACTAAAAATACAAAAATTAGCCAGGCGTGGTGGCGGACACCTGTAGTTACAGCCACTTGGGAGGCTGAGGCAGGAGAATGGTGTGAACCCAAGAGGTGGAGCTTTCAGTGAGCCAAGATCAAGCCACTGTACTCTCCAGCATGGGCAACAGAGCGAGGCTCAGTCTCAAAAAAAAAAAAAAAAAAAAGTGGAAGAACTGTACTTGCCCGCCCCGCCCCCTGCCCACAATTTCTTTATGTATTACCATGATTCTGCATTTGAACTGGTAAATAATAATAAACCTTTCTCAAGCCACAAATAGCAATTCAGTTTTTGTGTCTTTGTTGACAGGGTGGAGTTCAGCCTACTCTTTCTTAGATGTGAAAGGAAAGGAAGGTCGTTTCATGCCTTGTTGATAAAGGTAAGGTCATAGTAATTATTAAAGAGTTTGAGATGTTTGGTGGGTATCTACTGCTTTCTGACATTCTGACTTTGTGGTATGCTGAAGTTAACAGAAAGATAATACATTTTATAAGATGAATGGAATCTACACTTGTTCCTTTAGTTATCAGTAAAAACACATAAGATAAAGAAACTGGTGTAAATCAACATGACAAAGTGGATGTGGATTTGTTCTATAATGAGAAAGTAACTTGTGCTTTTCATTTGAAATGTTGGCCTACACACTTAGTCTGTTCCTCAAACATTTACATGGTTGGTAATAACCTTTTATCAACCATTGCTGATATCATCATGATAACATGTTTTAGGTTAATACAAACTAGATTACAAAATTATGCCATTTTAAAGCAAATCTATCCGTTACACTTTTCATGCTGATAGTTCTAGTTGGTGTCACTGATTTTAGAGGGCGAATGTGAAACAGGTGGTGTGGACTTCAGAGGCCCCACCTCTGACCCATGTATATTAGTGAATGTTAACTTGGAGACTCTTTTCTAAGCATTTGCTCCTATTGTAGCTATTTTTATAGTGTGCTAAAATGTTCAAATGCTATTACGACTGCTTTAAATGAATTCAATTTGTTTTTCACAAGTCTATGAAAACTGTTCTGTTAATATTCCCATTTTATAGATGTTAAAACTGAAGCATTGGAAAATTAAGAAAATTACCCAGGATTATGTAGATAGTAAATGGTAGAGTTGGAATTACATTGAGACCTCCTGATCTTTACTTCAGTGCTATACTGAAAACCTGTAATACTATTTGAACAATTTGAACTGGCTCATAATAATGATGGGAAGATGTGCTTTACTTTTGATGTATCTTTTCTAATAACACATGAACAAATGCAGGATGAATACATGTTACACTTCTTGATGGGTTTGACTTTACGCCAGTGAACTCTATCAGAAATTTTTTATACTTGAAATCCTTATAAATCTACTCAGTAAAGTTTTCAGAAAGTTCCTTTTGCATATTTATAAAATGTTTCATTGCTTGCTTAAAAATGCCCATATTAAAAGATGGTAGCATAATTTTAATTAAGAAAGCAGAAATAATGTACTTTACAAGGATTAGTATTACTCCTTTGGGGGCTATAAGTACAATGTATATTTTTTCCCCTGGCTAGGTGTTATGAGGTTAAATTTTCAGCACATTAAGTTTCAGTTGGACCACATATTATGCCACTGTGCTTAAAAACTCACAATGATTCAAGTATTAGAATCATAGAATTTTCTTCATGGAGAGAGATGGTTGGGGAGTAAGCCAGAAGTAATAGGTCTTGATTTGGGTTGCTGTCTCTTTCCAAAGGTTAGTATTTGAGGTGTGGGGCAGGGCATCAGGAACCTCCCATGGTACCAGGGTGAGGGGTTTGGAAAAGGTTTTGTTCATTTTTGAGTCATGCTTCCAGTTGTCGATGGGATCAGAAATTAACCCCAGAGGAAAGGGGCCTTTTACCAGGAGTTGGGATGGGGTTAGAGAACCAGTCAGATGGATTGGCCTCAGGGTTGGCATTTCCTGTTAGTGAACTGAAGTAAGTCAGAAAGCAGAGAAAACCACTGCCTATGCACTAGGCTCTGCAAAGAGAGAGCGAGTGGGTGCCTATAGCCACCTTTCTCTAGAAATAAATTTTAGGATTAATTTAGATTAATCTAGTTCCTACATTCCCTACTCCTAGTGTGAATTATAATGTCTATTTTTTGAAGATTTGCCAGAAGAGTGGGAATGGCTCAGCAGGTAAATTAAGGTTTTAAACTATAAGAAAGTGAGGCCAAGGAAAGTAGTAACTGAAATGCAAACATATTTTTCCAGAGATATCAACTATCAAATACATTGAGATACATTTTATATATGTCTAGAAGTATAATATTTATTAATAATAGAGTAATTAAAACAATATTTTTATTAGTGAAAATAATCTATGCTTATTAGACAGATTTGGTAGCAAAAGGTAAATTACACCAGTTCAGTATCAGCACTTTTATATTTCCTGTGTTTGTGTGCATGTGTGTGTGTATATGCATTTAAATTGGAATTGTATTGCCTGTATTGATGAATGGTCTTCTAAAAAACAATTTTAATGGCTCTACCATCTTGTATCATCTTATGTTTTATTATTTCAGGTTTTATTTCTAGGATATATTCCTGACAGTGGAATAACTAGATCAAGGGATGAGAACATTTTTAAAGGCTCTTTAAGCATATTGCAAAATTGCTTTCAGGAATGCTGTATGACTAATATTTGTTTCAGGAGCATAGAGGGGACTGGTTTCCATTGTTTTAATGTGCTGTTTTTTTATTCCTTCTAAGATTTGTTAAAAACCAAAATTGCAACAAATTTAAAATTAGTTTAAATATATTAGGTTTTTATTAGCAATTCATGAATCGGTAACATTTCATCTAAACATTTAGAAAAGGTGCTCCCATGAGCTGAGCAGAGGACATTATTTTTATAGGCCAGAAAGGGCTGAAGAAAGCAGAAACAGGAGATGAAAAGTGAATTGGTCATTTCAAAGTAACTTTCCTTATAGAATTAAAACAGAGAGGACTTTCTTGTTACACTGGCCCAGGTAAACTAGGCTCCTCCTCATTGGCTGCTGTGCGTCTCCTGTTTTATTTTTTTCTGAAAACAGGCCCATTTCAAAGTTCAGTTTGATTGTGTGACTCCTAGCCACATAATGACTGCATTCTGAGTGACTCTGTTTTGGTCTTGTCTGGTATATTGGGCCTAGTGCAGAAGCTCAGTCCAAACCAGTGGCCTCCCATACATTTCAGAACAGGTTCTGCGTTTTTTGTGTTTTGTTTTTTTTAAACTTCATGCTTTTGCAAATTTGTCTATTACAGTTTTAGTTTATTACTAATTTGTTTAAAAAATTTTTTTTTTAAATTATACTTTAAGTTCTAGGGTACATGTGCACAACGTGCAGGTTTGTTACATATGTATACATGTGCCATGTTGGTGTGCTGCACCCATTAACTCATCATTTACATTAGGTGTATCTCCTAATGCTATTCGTCCCGCATCTCCCCACCCCATGACAGGCCCCAGTGTGTGATATTCCCCATCCTATGTCTGAGTGTTCTCATTGTTAAATTCCCACCTATGAGTGAGAACATGCGGTGTTTGGTTTTCTGTTCTTGCGATAGTTTGCTGAGAATGATGGTTTCCAGCTTCATCCATGCCCCTACAAAGGACATGAACTCATCCTTTTTTATGGCTGCATAGTATTCTCTGCTGTGTATGTGCCACATTTTCTTAATCCAGTCTGTCTTTGATGGACATTTGGGTTGGTTCCAAGTCTTTGCTATTGTGAATAGTGCCGCAATAAACATACGTGTGCATGTGTCTTTATAGCAGCATGACTTATAATCCTTTGGGTATATCCCCAGTAATGGGATGGCTGGGTCAAATGGAATTTGTAGTTCTAGATCCTTAAGGAATCGCCACACTGTTTTCCACAGTGGTTAAACTAGTTTACAGTCCCATCAACAGTGTAAAAGTGTTCCTATTTTTCAGCATCCTCTCCAGCACCTGTTGTTTCCTGACTTTTTAATGATTGCCATTCTAACTGGTGTGAGATGGTATCTCATTGTGATTTTGATTTGCATTTCTCTGATGGCCAGTGATGGTGAGCATTTTTTCATGTGTCTGTTGGCTGCATAAATGTCTTCTTTTGAGAAATGTCTGTTCATATCCTTTGCCTACTTTTTGTATGAGTTCCTTATGTAATTCAGATGATCAACTCTTTGACTGTTATTTATATGAGATATTTCTACCATTTGTCCTCTATTTTAATGAATTTATTGAAGTATAGCAGTTTCACATTGTATATTCAGGTTTAATAGATTTTTTCGTACAATTTCTTCTCATTTCCAGATTTAGAAAACCAAAAATGACAATTTAAATAGCAAAAATAGATGAATTATGTGTTATGTTTCTGGATCTATTTTGTTATTGACTTTTCCTAACAATCTTAGGTAGTGATTGTAAATGAGGAAACTAAGGCAAGGCAAGATTAAGTAACCTTTGAAAGATAATCCAGCAAGTAAATGGTAGAGCTAGTATTTGAACTGGTCATATGGTTGTAAATCCTGTGCTCTTTACCAGTACCTCATACTTCCTGGTAGAATAGAACAGAACAAGGGACTTTTAAAATGTTTAAGGTATTAATGAAAATTGTCAAGGAAAACATTTGGATTTATTTGAGTGTTTAAATTTGATTCTTTGGGAGGTCAAGGCAGGAGGATTGCTAGAGCCCACAAGTTTGAAACCAGCCTGGGCAACATGGCTAGACCTGGTCTCTATAAAAAAAATTTTAAAAAATTAGCCAGATATGCTGGGATGTGCTTGTTGTCCCAGCTACTCCAGGAGGCTGAGGCAGGAGGATCACTTGAGCTCAGAGGTCGAGGCTATGGTGAACCATGTTGGCACCACTGTACTCCAGCTTGGGTGACAGAGCGAGACCCCGTCTAAAAAATAAATAAAAATAAAAATAAGTACATTTGATTCTTATTTTTCTAGTATCCAGTGAATTTGCTTTTTCTGTTGTTTGGTCCAGGAGATCTTTAAATTTTTTCCCCATTATTATAGAATTAGATGTAGAAAAATATTTTGTTTACTAACTATATCTCATGATATATTTGTATTATTAAATTGGTGTGCATATGGGCAAGACTGTACTATACAGTGAAAAATCATTTTTTAATACAGAGTTTGATACTTAAAAAAAAAACTCTGTACATTGAAACTACTGTGGTTATACCAACCATATGGATTGTTTGGAATTCCTAGACTGAATTTGAATATAATTAGTTATAGACTTGTTATTTGTGGTATTCATCCAGTATCTAAGAGAAGTGATTATCATAAAATATTTTTATGGGATATCTTATATAAAATGACAAAATAATACAAATTATTATTATTTTATTCATAATTTTTGACTTTTTAAAAAACAT